ATCCGAAATAGGGGTGGCAACTTACGCTTTACGCCTTACGCTTTTCGGTTACGGTAAATTACGGTCGGGCCCAAAAACGACCGTAATTTTTCGGTGTGACGGCGTAACGTCAATTACGGTGTCCATTTTTCAAAAGTTACGCTACACCGTAAAATTGGTCGACCGAAGACGCGTCAGGGCCAGGCCCAGTCCTCACCGGAAGTCAGATGTCCACACGCCACCGCGCCTCCAAGCCCACCGCTCCTCCAAAGCAACATATAATCATCTAACATCCATTCTAGAGCAATTAATGGAAGATGAAACTGTCCGATTTGCCGCGAAAACCTTGCTTCGAAGTTCGAAAACGCACCTCAACATAGCCACAACTAAGTAGATCTATACCAGCACCAAGGTAACTATGTAAACAATGATACTAGAAATCAGCACTCTGCTCATTCTGAAGTGGTCGTGCATTTATTTCCGTGCGAGCGTGCCAATCGCGATGTCGTCATCGCTGTCCGTGTCCGGCAACGCTGGGGGTCCTCGCCACTCCAGCCAGCAAAGTAGTGCTACTTTTAAGAGTGTTGTTCAGCTTTTTCATGAGCACGGGCTGCTGTTTGGGTGTCTCATCGGCCATTGTTACACATGACCCACGTGAACAGAGGTAGCAGCTAAAAGAAAATGTTATTTATTGTTACTATAATTACTAAAATGTTTTGGGTTCACGAAAATGGCCACTGGTACGGGACCGTAAAGCATTACGGTTGGTCTCAGGACGCTCCAAACCGTAATATACGGTATTTGACGCTTTACGCTTTACGCTTTGCGTAACTTACGGTCCAAAAAGTCTATTACGCCGTAAGTTTCCACCCCTAAATGAAACGGCACACCAAGCCCACAAAACCTGTTCCCCCCCTTCCCACGTCAGGCACAGTAGGCTCACCTGCAGCAGCGTTGCTGGTGCCAGCATCAGCGCCTGCAGGCGGCAGGCCCACGGCAGGGTGAGCAGGGTGGGTCACTGGAACACCCACGCTGTACAACATGAGCAGCATTAAGTCGTTAACATAACATCGATGCAGCGCGCACGCACATCATAGACACGGTCGCCAGACAACGTGCAGAGCGTTGTCTGACGACCAACGTGCAGGGGGGCCACTATCACGATGGGCGCACAGCTGCACGGTAGGGTGCAGGGTGCTGTACTTTTTACAGCCGGCGGTAAAGCGTCCACACGGCACACTCTCCCTTAGAGGTGACAGCCTGACAAAGCTTTTAGTCCTGAAGGCGACACACCCTGCCACATATACGCTGATGTTGAAACTTGAACGAAGCCCTAAAAACGAACTGTGACCCTTCGGCTGCGGAAATGCAAAAGTGGCTTCGTCCACTGCAAACAGGTCTACGAAAGATCACCCATCACAGCAAGACCTCTCTTGGCTACGATACCGGCTGTAGGACAGAAATCCTCGCTTATGCAGAAAACTTCTCCGACACCCTAATGGACACAGTCCGCAGGCGATCAGTCGCAAGCCGAACTGCAGACGTACCAAAAGACAACCGGCCTCACGGCCAACCCCATTCAAGTGTGCATAGCAGCATTTACTGATGCTTACTTTTGATGGCTGCCTTCAGGGCGGTAAGCTGCCGGAGATTAAGGTGTGATCGCAGATAACTAACGTCAAGAAGACAAAACGCGTCTCCCGCCTCAGCGTCCACATCAAAACCTTCAGCTTGTAGAGCTTGAAGGATGGGAGCAACCGTGGCTTCGGTCTCTCCGCGGACTGCAGCGAGTGCTTCGCGTATTGTAGTCATTGGAACAGACTACACGACCGAGGATCCAATGACATGCGCTAACCAGGCTAGCCAGGAAAGTCACCCGGTCTGCTCTCGAGCTCAACCGCAACACTGAGAAGTACTGTTTCAGAGAGGAAAACCTGTGACTTGCTGCCACGTTACACAAAACGGTTAATTAGACAGTTAAACATATGTGGTAAACTTCTGTTGCTCTTGCAATTACAATTGTACCGAGTTGCCGGAACTTCGGAGGTTTCGGAGCGGAAAGGAGGTCCTAGTGAGTCTTCGGTCTTAGCGTGCTTCTGTACTGTCGATTTGTCAAAGAGCTACTAATTGACTGGCGACCTCGCCCCCCACAGAAAGCGGGGCTTGCCGAATGGAGACCATGTCTAAGTAGATCTGGACCCTGTGAGCTGCTGACATTTGCTTCAATTGTGTAGGAGGCCACAAGGTCGCCAGAGCGTGCTCACAGTGAACCTGTACTGCGGCTGCGAAAAAGTTTCCGATTTATAGCCTTCCTGCGAAACCTCGCGAAGCCTCCGGTAAACCTCGAAAACCTCGAAATGCTGCAATTTGTTATGTCTATGGCAAAAGTCATAAATGGACCTTAAACGCCTCAGGTCACACAGGCCGAGAATTGCATCCTTTGTGACCTATATGTCTTTTGCTTGCAAGGGTTGCAACTTGTATTCGTGGGAGGGGGCTACAAAGGTATAGGGAAGTGTCACGGCATCTTGCTTGGGCGTGGTCTGGCTACTGCATGGTATCCTGGTTGATTTTGCGAATTGCATCACATACAGCTTCACTGTTAAGCAGAAGCCACGATAAGTTTTACCTAGATGGTTTTTACCCAGGACCGGTACTTGTTGCAAATGGTCCGCAGGAAACACTTTCCTAGTTTCTTTCTAGCAATTTCCCTGCCCTGCATTAGCTCACTTCGCGCACTTTCGTGTGGCTTCCAGAGATGCATTGCACCCTCCCAGTTCCCGAAGCTCCTCCGCACCGATAATCGGGTTTCATCTGCTTCATCATCGAATCCATCTCGATGTCAGCTGGCACCTTTGTCGTTTCTGGCAGGGCATCTTACGTGCTCCTTTCGAAGCATGTCAGCCCTGGATGTCTGATGGTTGTGGTTTTGGGGGCGGTTGCTGCGGCGGAATGGAACAATGAACTAAACAGCGACGGGCGATGTGTTCTCAAGGCGGTCAAGGGTGGTGGATACAAATGAGTGCTGTGCGGGCAAATACGGATCGTGGGCGTGGCGGGCCCTATACATCCACATATATATTTTTTAAATCAACCTTTGCTTTCGTTTGCCTCTGGCGGCGGCGGCTACGATGGAGTGGGCTCAGAAGGAACGGTTTCTTGACCCATGGGTTCAATGGCATCCGGACGCCATACGGCGGCATCGATGGTGGCGGTCAATGGGTAGCCTCGCGGCAGCGACTAGAGGCCGGCCAGACGGCTTGGGCCCGCCAGCTCGCGGCGGTGGTAAGCATGGTGCACGTGGAAACAGTTGGGAGTTAGTGGTTAGGAAAAGGTTAACCGCATTTAACAGTTCGGAAAGGTGTTAATGATTTAACCTTTTTTGTTTTTATTCGTCAGAAA